GCTTCAGGGGCTTCGCCTTCGCAGTAGAAGTGGCCTTCAAGATGGAGGCCATGTCTGGAGCTAGGTACTCCCTCTTCTTGAATTTGTCTGCACAACGTAGATTAGCATCAGCATAAGAAACATTCAGGATAAAAACATCAAGTGTTGGGGACCCATACCTCTGGATGCCATCAGCTCGAAGTCCAAGAAGTATCTGCTTCTATCAATCAGGTGATCGAAGTGCCGAAGCTTCAGAGGCCTCTTGTAAATGTCCTCTATCACCTCGAATTCCTCCCTGCTAAGCTCGAACCTCGTACTACTATCTGCAAAGACGAACCTCCAACAGTTAGATGAATAAACATTCTAGTTTCAAAACACAAGCAGAGGTTGGGAGACTCACGAGCTTCGTAGTACTGGGTCGGCATTGTGCATGACAGGGCTCTGTCACCCTCCACTGCCTGCCATTTACCTCGCACCCAGAATCAGGACTCCTTCCACCCCTTAATAGAGGAAGGAAGTCCCACCACAAAGGGTGCGTGAGCCCCCCAAGGCGTGAGGTAGTACTACTCCCTTGACTCCTTCCCAATTACCCGGGACTGGAACAGGGTCATGAAGACATGAAGAGGCATGTCCTCCCCAAGTGAAACTTCCTTCCACAGGAAGTAGGAGCCGACCAGCTGGCTCCACCCGTTCGGTAGAACCTGGGTCGGGGACAGCATGAATTTCCTAAGCACCGCCCTAAAGAAGGGGTGCAAAAGAAGACGCATACCTGCTTTGAACAGGTATTCACTCACGGCCACGCATCCGGGCCTCGGATAGCAGGCCCACTCGTTCGGTTCGGGGACTAACATCTCTATGTTATAAGGCACACTGTACCTTTCCCTAAGTTCCCCCAACCTCTTCCCCGTCATGTTCGAGGGCACTCTAGAAGCCCCCCAGTCCTGGGTATAATCCACAGCCTCCTCGGCCATGGCGTACCTATCCACCTCGGACGTCCCCCCATGACCTATCCCATGATCTAAAGATGCCACTGTAACAAGCTCCCTACCCGAAGTGGACTCCATTTTTTCAGAACAAAGACAATAACAACGGTTTTTTATGCAAACAATACCTAGAGGAGTTCAACACAAACGGAGACTGGTCGGAATCTAATCGCAGACAACCTCGACGCCGGAAAATGGGAGATTTGAGAGAATTCGAGAATGCAAAGTGTTCAAAAATCCTGGAAATTGGGATTTTCTCGCCTTTTATAAAGGTCCAAAATGAACCCCACCCGTCAGATCAAATCTCAGTCAATCCTAGCCCTCCATTTCAGATCCAATCCGAGGCGTTGAATTTAAACAGTTTTTTAAATCCTACGCCTCCGATCTATGCGTGCCTTCCACGCACCTCTCCAACGCGTCTACTTCTAGAAACACCAGCTACCCTCATAATTGCACTTTAATTCGACGGCGCCACCACCTTGGAAGTCGTAACGGTTCAGCTACCTTTCCTCGAAAACAAGCACAAAACATCAAATCATTGGCTCAATGACCAACGCACAATCATTACCGTTCAGCAACAAGCCTCGCAGGTTCGGTTCCTTAACCACCTCGGCTTCCTCTTCATCTTTCAGCAACAAGCCTCGCACCTTGGCTTCCTCTTCATCTTTCAGCAACAAGCCTCGTAGGTTCGTTCCTCAACCACCCCGGCTTCCTCTTCATCATTCAGCAACAAGCCTCGCAGGTTCGGTTCCTCACCCACTTCGGCTTCATCTTCAAAAGTTCAACACCTCGCCTACTTCATCGCTCATCCACAGCAATACTTCTCTAACTCCAACCATGATATAAATATCTATACTTAGACTTGGGGGACTATTATTTGGGGTTTCAAAATTCTTTCAATTTTTTACTCCATTAAAGTCCACGCATTACATAAATGAATATACTTGGACTTGGGGGACTATTGTTGCGTGTTGTCACACCTGGCCAACCTACCTGGGACAATGGCCCACTCATGGCGATCCACGTGGCATTCCTGCCGAGGTGGGGCTACATCCGAACTACTTTGAACCGAAGTTCATCTGCCGAGACTCCCTTCTGTCCAAGGTCCATTGACCGAGGCCTACGAACCGAAGCCCGACTGCTAGAACCTGTTGAGAGCAGCTGAGGCTCTCAAGTGGAAGTATCATGACAAATGGCTGAAGCCCCGAAACTGATGCGCGAGCCTCTGAACCACAAGGAAACATCCTCCATGGTCACTTCTCCTAAGAGATCGCCTGCACAGATCTTATTTGAATGACTGATGGAACGTTTGTCATAAGCATAAAGGTCAAGTCTTGTCACTAGCATGGAGGCCCTGCACAAGTAATAAGTGCGCCGTAAGCTAGCAAGTCAAGTCCCATGCCTAAGAACAGACGTTTGAACTAAGGAGATGAGGTCACGTGCCACTTCATCCAAGGGCTCCCATTCCATATGTATCACTATAAATACCCCCATTGTATAATGTCAAAGGCTAATGCAAGAATCAATACTAAAAACTACATTTACTCAACTCTCTCTCATTTACTTGCAATACACAAATCGAATCCATACGCTTTTACACATACATTTACGAGCACCGGTTGGTAATTATTGTACAATCAGATTATGAACAACCCGCCGGATTCTGAACATCACCGTCCCGCGTCGTTGGGCTACTCCCACGCCCCTTTGAACCGCTCGTTTTAGACCGTCCACGTGTCTTAGCGTGTCGGACATTCGCGCCACGCAAGCGCGGGTGGGACCGGCATCTGTTGGCGTACTTTTTGGGGTCAACAATATATATATTTGTTAATATTGATTATTGTTGAGTGTGGGTTTTTGAAATATAGAATTTTTTTGTTTCTACTGGGCAAGCGAAGGAAGGGCAGCCGGCAACCAAGGAAGCCGAAGGTGGAACTGCCGAATTAGGGAGCCACATACTACACATTTCTTCAAACAAATCCTATGTTTTGAAATTTTAGGCTTTTTGGGATTTCTATTTTGCATTCACATGGTTCTTGAAATATCTACTGCATGTAGGCAAAAGGGTCCATTCTGTTGTAACAATTCTAGGAATTTCAAACTTTCGATAACTTCAAGATTGTTAAGGATTTTCTAGTGTCTGGAATACTAATTTCTTTCCTTATCGTTTGTGGGTTTTGAAGGGTTCTTTACTTTTGGCTGTTTTGACCTTTTTTTAGCTTTTAATCAATAAAAAAACTGTCTTACAATTCGAAAGTATTTTTGAGGGTTTAGGGTTATGTAGTACTCTTGTTGAAGTTTGTTTGCAGAGTTTTTAACTTCTTCAGTCCAGTTGTTACTTTCTTTTGTTATTTTCTTTACTGATTGGAGTTGTCTATCTGAAAACATCTGGTCAAGTTCTTGAATTCAAACCAAGTGCTGAATCGAGATGACTTGGAATTACTATATCACGAGTCGAGGTGGCAATCCATTAGTTTGAATCTTTTTTCATATTGTTGAAGGGATTTTTAAATTTTAGCCCGTGCGTAAAACATTTTTAGATCCTCCCCTGGTCAAGGAGGTAGACGTGACCTATCATGTTAAGAAAATATAATTTATAATTAAATAATTTTTAAATAAATTATTTGTTGAGAATTAAGAAATAAGAAAATAAAGGAAATATTGTTCGACGTAGTTGTTGAAGATAATTTCATAACATGGTATGATAATTGTACCAATTTAACTCGAAAGTTGTATCATTTTATTGCTCTGAATTGAAAATTGCCTCGGACATCAAAGAATATGTACACAACTCACAAAGGCAGGTTCCAGTGCCATTGGTGCAGGAAGTTGTAGTAATAGTAATAGAAGGTGCAGAGCAGCCCACTTTATCAACCAAGAAATACCAGATGAGATCATCGACACGCTTATGCAGGGACGGATTCAGGATTTGATCCAAGATCAGGTTACAAAATTTCAAATCGAACTATTACGCGAAAAAAAAAAATTTTGCACATAAAAAACTGATTTTTTACCAAAAAATACCTTTAAAAAAATTTCTTGGGCCTGAGTGGGTGGGGGCCCCTCCCAAAAAATAAATTTCCGTCCATGCACTTATGGTTTTCTTAAGCAGTTCCGAAGGCTTTTGTGTTTTGCAGAATTTCTACTAATAGCACAAAGAAAATATCTTCGAATATGATGAAATAAAAACTGTTTTTTTTTTTCAACAATAGAAATCTTGCTATTCTTAGAGCCTGTTAGGAAGTAATTTTGAGAATTAATTTTTTGACCGTTAGTAGAAAAGTGGAGTCCACCTGTGAGAGAATAATTCAAATATAACGATTGAAATAGTGAAATAACGATCAAAAAATCAATTTTTTGGGGCAAAAAATCGCTCCCAAACAAGCTGTTAGAATATTCCAAAAAATGCTTCACGGATGATGTTTTTCCGGATAAGTTCAACATGTGATGTTAACAACTTAACATTCCTCTTTTAAGTTAATTGTTCCAATGGTCACTCAACTTAGGTCATATTTTTTATTAGTTGCTGAAATTTAAAATGTCGAGTTTTAATCACTAAACTCAGGTCTATGTCTTCGATTACTCATTGAAATTTAAAATGTCGAATTTGGCCACTAAACTTTGAATAATGTTGTACATTACTTATTTGAACTTTGAAAAAATATTGTACATTATTCACTGAATTTTGAAAAATATTGTACATTACTCACTATAAACTTGATATTTTTCAAAATTCAACAGTTATGTTAGTGAGTAACGTAAGGTATATTCCAAAGTTCAATGATCAAAACTTGAATATTTTAAACTTCAGTAAGCAATCTAAGATATGAACCTAAGTTTAGTGAGCAATCGAAAACATTGATCTAAGTTTAATGAGCAAAACTCGACATTTTAAATTTCAGTAATCAATAAAAAATATGGACCAAAGTTCAGTGACCATTCAAACAATTATCTCTGATTTTTATGGGTTCCTATTTGTCTTATTTGCTTTAATTTAAATTTGTTTGTTTGGCATGTGCCAAGTTTTACTTTTCTAATTCTAATTTCTCTTCAAAAGTTGAACCTTTGGACTAGATTAAATGCACCGTTGAAATATGCCGACGAACAGAGATAGACAGACAGACAGACAGACAAAGAAGATGGAAAAAATAGAGCACAAGATCATACCAGTTAATGGCCTGAAGATGCACGTAGCCGAACTTGGTGAGGGCCCATTAGTCCTTTTCCTTCATGGCTTCCCCGAGCTTTGGTATTCATGGCGTCACCAAATTCTGTACCTGGCAGCTCAAGGATACAGGGCCGTGGCGCCAGACTTGAGGGGTTATGGTGACACCACTGGTGCACCAGTTGAGGACCCATCAAAATTCACCACACTTCACATAGCTGGTGACCTGATTGCGCTCCTCGATGCCATTGCGCCCGATGCAAATAAGGTTTTTGTTGTTGGGCATGACTGGGGTGCTTTCATGGCCTGGCACTTGTGCTTGTACAGGCCTGACAAAGTGAAGGCTTTGGTGAATTTGAGTGTTGCTTTTATTCCAAGAAGTCCCGAAATGAATCCTGTCGACAAGTTTCGCAGTCTATATGGAGATGACCACTATATTTGCAGATTTCAGGTACTTTATTCTGCAAACTAGCTTGTGTGTGGCAACTGCCTCTTAACTCCCATATCATTTCGTGGAAAGTCTTTCTTGTGGGTGAATTAGCTGAGAGAGAGAAATAGAAATCAATTTTGATTTTGATTATTGAAACTTAATTTTCTCCCACAACTTGTGTTTGAGATACTTATTTGTGAGCTTGGAACGACAACTTTTGAAGGCACTCTCTGGTTTTAAGGCTGTTCTAGGTGGGTTTTCCAACTGAGGGAGACAGCAATATTGATTTGAGTATGAAATCTTGATTCCCTTCCCACAATTTGTGTTTATGATGGTTCTTTGTGAATCATTTAGGATTTCACCCACAAATTAAGCAAGATAATGGATATTTAATTTGATGATGCTGAACAGGCAATTATACTTGATATACAGAAACCTGGGAGAGAAATTTGGCACAAATTATTTTGTATCCATTTTACGTTTATTGATACTTTACTTAGTGCCCCTTGTATGGTTCTGATTATGTCAAGAAGATGGCAAAGGGTATTAGAAAATTAATGAAGATTGATTGATGAAATTATAGATTCAATTGGTTCAGACTCTCATCGTCTCCTTGGCTATATTAATCTTTGAAATACTTAACATTTGCTTGAATTCTGCACCAAATCTATAGATGAATAGTGTGTAATGACAGCGGCAGTTAATGGAAACGGAGAGAAAGTTGAGAAGAAATTTTTTTAAAAATAAAGCATATGTTATTTGTAGTCGAGCCACGTTTTTCCTCGTGGAGCTTCAATGTGAGAATGACTTAGGTGAATGATTCAAAACATAGGTCTGGTAACCGATGTATCCTTTTCTTTACAAGAAATTAATTTTATCTTGGATGATCAAACTGACAGGAATGTTGGTTGACAATGTTTTAGGAACCAGGGGACATAGAAGCTGAGTTTGCGCAGATTGGCACCAAAGAAGTTCTCAAGAACTTTTTAGCATATCGCACTCCTGGACCATTTTATTTTCCTAAAGGTAAAGGCTTCGGCAGTTCTGCTGATAAGCCAAATTGGTTATCAGAAGATGATTTGGACTACTACGCCAAGAAGTTTGAGCAAACTGGATTCTCAGGAGGAGTGAATTACTACCGCGCTTTTGGCAGGTACTTGGCCTCTAGATGTCACCAATGCCACCTACATGTGTTGTTTTATAGATATGGACCAAAGTCACAAAGCAATATCATAAAATTCTCGCATCCTCTTTTCATTATTCAAAATTTCAGATGTCTACACGGACTGTCTTAAGTTTAGAGTAAATCACACTCTTGATTTTGCAAAAGTTCTTACATACACTGTAATGCCTTGAAGCTGAATTCAGAGTGATATGTTTTGAATTGACAGTCCTAAATATGAATTGCAGGAGCTGGGAACTGAATGCCCCATGGACCGGGGCTCAGGTGAAAGTGCCAGCGAAGTTCATAGTTGGGGAATTTGACCTGACCTATCATATACAAGGGACCAAAGAATTCATACACAAAGGTGGGTTCCAGAAATACGTGCCATTGTTGCAGGAAGTTGTTGTGATTGAAGGTGCAGCACACTTTATCAATCAAGAAAGACCAGATGAGATCAGTCAACACATTTATGAATTTCTTAAGCAGTTCTAAACCCTCTTTTATTTGGAATGAGTTTCTTTAAGCTCACTTGCCTGCTTATCTGCGCTAATAATTGTTAAAACTAGAGGTTTGTTTGTAATAAACATCAGCACCTCGTCATTTTACTATAATATCCATAAGGGCGTTTTCAGTTTATACTTGAGTTTTTTGGTCCTTATAGTCAAGCCGGGAGTCGATATCATTAAGCTTTTGGTGCTAATATGTTGTGAATCGGCTTGTAGTCGTGTTTTATAAAACGGGGCAGAATGTTTATCAATGAATAAGGGCCTGTATGGTTCTAATTATTTGTTCTCAAGAAGAATCTAAACATTGCGAAGGGGTGTCAAAAACTTCATTGAGGTAAATCATATGGATTATTTTGTGGGTGAAATTATTGATTCAATTGGTTAAGAATCTTATCATCTCCCTGGAATTAATCAAGGCCAAATTTAGTATACGTAAGTTCATGGAAATGTGGAGAAACTTAAGAAGAAAAGTTTAAGAAATCAAGCATACGTTATTCGTAGTTGTGCCATGTTTTGGATTGTGAAGCTTCAATTAATAAAATGACCTAGGTGAATCCTCCGAATCACCAGTCTGGTACTAGATGTAGCCTTTGAATTTTATCTTCAATGATCAAACTAACAGGAATGTTGGCTGAAAATGTTTCAGGAAACTGGGGATATAGAAATTCCTTCGTACATTCGTATTGTAGTGTTCTTGATTGATTTTTAGTGAATACGAGCAATGTCTACTTATAGATAGAGATGGACAAAAAAAATCGAAAAATCAATCAAATCGAGTCGGGTCAATTTGAACAAAAAAAATCGATTTGGTTCGATTAATTTCAACTATTAAAAAGTCAGGTCAATTTGATTGCGGTTTTAAGCAAACAACCTGTCAATTAATTGACTTAATTCGCTAATACAATTTTATTTTTATTTTTATTTTTTTACTTTGAAATTCATATTTTTAAACTGAAAAAATAAAAGAATAAGAACATAAATATAATTCTTTCAAAAATAATTTATTTACCGGATTTTCTACTAAAATTTCAAATTCCAAAAGGGCAAAAGGAAAAAGCAATGAGAAGAATTGTTTGCTGTAAACACAAAAATTATATTGTAGTATTGCTTTTCATTTTGATATAATTGTTTGTTGGTAACTATCGGATATATGGGATGATTTTGGAAAATTGACCTTTACAATTTACATTATATCTATATGATTAATATGTAATACATAAGAAAAAAAAAATTATATATATAGGCAAACAAATTTTTTAACCGAAAATTGATAGGGAAGTTTTTAAACTCATATAAATATTCAAACTGATTAACAAAACCAAACCTACCCAAACAAAATCGATTTGGTTTGGTTCGATTTCAATAGCTAGATTGAGTTGGTTTGAGTTGAAATTTACCGACACCGACCAAGTAGATTTCAGTTTCGGGTTGAGCTCAAAGTCAACCCAACTCAAACACCTACTTGTAGATGCTGAACAAAAGAGTAGCATCTCGAGCATATGAACATCTAAACTTGATGGTGAATGAAAATTTCTCTGTGTTGTTACTTTTGATTTTTGGGATTTTACTTTTTGCTAACGATTTTATTTTGAATGAAAAAGTTGCACCTCTGCACTAGGGTTGTAAGCAAAAATCGTAAAATCGGAAAATGGAACCAAAATCGCATTTTAGAAACTATCGGTTTGGTACCACGTGGACCCAATCAACGAAATGATTTTGAATCAAACCAAACCGATCAAAATGGTTTGGTTTATGTTTCAGAATTTTAATTGCGGTTTAAAATCAAACCGAACTGACAAAAAATATATAAAAATAAAAAAAATAAAAAAATGAATTTTTTTGAAAATTCATCCAAATATGTAAAATTCAATAGTTTTGTCATTTGTGGATATTTTTATCAATTTCTAATTTTCGAATACATATAAATTATTATTATCTAATAATCCTAATTTATATTTAATAATCTCAAAATTAACATAATCTATCAAAAACCCTTTTCCTCTTTAGAATTCAGATAAACTCTAGTCGACACCCGACATAGTCTTGAGCCACCGACACCACACACACTTTTTCTTTAGATTTTTTATGCCTCTTCAAAATTGAATTGTAGTCCATTACACCAAATCGGAGACAAAGAAATCCTAGGCCTTCGATGATAATATTTATTACGAATAAAGTTTCAAATCAATAATTTTTTTGAGCAAACTGAGGTAAGAATCTAAAATTAAATGTGTTTCGCAACATACAAACGTAAGCTTGTATAATTGTTATGTTTAGATATTATAAACAACTGCTTTATTATTGTGGTTGATTATTCTTTGTCTAATCAGTAACATTTTTTCAAATATAATAATCACAAGGTCTTGTTGGATATCATTATATTTTTTTGATCCTATATCTCGTTTTGTAGACTTGTTTTGTAACGTTATCATAAAGTAATTAGCCTAAAAAAGGTGAACAAAAATGAAAAAAAATTATGTTTTAATTTATTGTGATTTCACTTTGATTTAGTAGATATATTTAACCCCTGTTCAAGCCATATTTTTCATGTTATCATAATGAGAAAATTGACAGTTGGAGAGGAGACTGTGTCCCACGCATGAAACAACAGATCAACAAATGTAGTTGAATTTGTGGGATAATGGTCTAAATTTTCATTTTTTTGTCCCCAAAATTTGATTCAAACAAGGGCTTAGATTGTTTTAGATTTATAGCTAATAAGATATAAATATATATTGAATTCAATGAATTAATGTCATAAAAGTAGACAGACAAAAAAATATACAACGAAATTGACGGTTTAAAATCGGACCAAACCGTTAGATTTAAATTTGAATTTTTTTCAAACCGTTCAAAATGGTTTAGTTTAGATTTGAATTTTTCTCAAACCGATTTAAACGATTTGATTTGAAAATTTGTCAAAATTTGATAAAATCGTACCGCTTACTCCATATTTTGGACTACATTAAATGCACCGTTGAAATATGATGAACTCTCATGACACGCTATCATCCGTTTCCATTCACCGGCGTAGTACTCCAACATTGAGAGAGAGAAGATGGAAAAAATAGAGCACAAGATCATACCAGTTAATGGCCTGAATATGCACGTAGCCGAACTTGGTGAGGGCCCATTAGTCCTTTTCCTTCATGGCTTCCCCGAGCTTTGGTATTCATGGCGTCACCAAATTCTGTACCTGGCGGCTCAAGGATACAGGGACGTGGCGCCAGACTTGAGGGGTTATGGTGACACCACTGGTGCGCCAGTTGAGGACCCATCAAAATTCACTACACTTCAAATAGTTGGTGACCTGATTGCGCTCCTCGATGCCATCGCGCCTAATGCAGATAAGGTTTTTGTTATTGGGCATGACTGGGGTGATGGCCTGGCACTTGTGCTTGTACAGGCCTGACAAAGTGAAGGCTTTGGTGAATTTGAGTGTTGCTTTTATTCCAAGAAGTCCCGAAATGAGTACTGTCGACAATTTTCGCAGTCTATATGGAGATGACCACTATATTTGCAGATTTCAGGTACTTTATTCTGCATACTAGCGTGTGATCAATCATGCTATGCTGCCAAGGACGGTTTGGCACCCTCCCTGACCGCACACACAATAGGGTGGGAGCACTTTTTTTGACATTTTTTATTCAGCGAGTCCCATGCTCATGTGAGTGTATATCAATTAAACATTTTCTGGCAAAAAATCTTTATTCGCGTCTAATTCCCATGTCTGCTCGTGGAAAGTCTTGTCTTGTGGGTGAATTAGCAGAGAGAGAGAGAGAGAGAGATGAATCTTGATTTTGAGTATTGAATCTTGATTTTCTCTCAAACTTATGTTTAAGATATTTGTTTGTGAGCTTATAACGATTACTTTCGAGTCCTAAGTTTGTTGCCCGTCCCATGTCATATAAAGAAATTAGAAAGTCGGCCTTGTTAACACAATGGGCACTCTCTGGTTTTAAGGCTGAGTTCTAAGTGGGTTCTTCCAACTGGAAGAAACATCACATTGATTTTGAGTATGGAATCTTGATTCCTTCCCACAATTTGTGTTTATGATGTTTCTTTGTGAATAATAAATGATTTTACACTCAAATTAAGTAAGATAATGAGGAATTAATATGATGATGCTGAACAGGCAATCACACTTGATTTACAAAAATCTGAGAAAGAGAAATTGGGTGTCAACAAATTTGTATCCATTTTATGTTTATTGATACCCTTTATCTAGGGCCCCGTATCGTTCTGATTATGTCAGATTTTCAAGAAGAATATGAACATGGCAAATTTGTATTAGAAAATTTGTGGAGGTAAACCAAATGGATTCTTTTGATTGATTGATGAAATTATTGATTCAATTGGTTCAGAATCTCATCATCTCCTTGGAATTAATCAAGGCCAAATAGTACTGTAAATAATCTTTGAAATTCTTAACATTTGCTTGAATTCTTCACCAAATCAATAGATGAATAGTATATAATGACAGCGGCAGTTAATGGCCACGTAGAGAAAGTTAAGAAGAAAATTTTAAGAAATCAACATGTGTTATTCGCAGTTGAGCCATGTTTTGCCTCGTGGAGCTTCAATTTTAGAATGACATAGGTGAATGATTCAAATCATGGGTCTGGTACTTGATGTAGCTTTTTCCTTAAAGAAATGAATTTTATCTTGGATGATCAAACTGACAGGAATGTTGGTTGACAATGTTTCAGGAACCTGGGGAAATAGAAGCTGAATTTGCGCAGATTGGCACCAAACAAGTTCTCAAGAACTTTCTTGCATTCCGCAGTCCTAAACCATTTTATTTTCCCAAAGGTAAAGGCTTTGGCTATTCTGCAGATAAGCCAAGTTGGTTATCAGAAGATGATTTGGACTATTACACCAAAAAGTTTGAGCAGACTGGATTCTCTGGAGGAGTGAATTACTACCGCGCTTTAGACAGGTAATTGGCCTCTAGACGTCTCCTATGCTGCCTCTGTGTTGTTTTGTAGATCGGGACCAAAGTCACAAAGCAATACTGGAAAGTTCTCACTCCCTCTTTTCATTATTAAAGATTTCAGATGTCTGCACAGTTGGACCGTTCTGACAATTTAAACTCGAAGTTCTGAGTAAATTTAAATTCTTGATTTCACA